CAGAAATAATACATGCAACCATTAGCTTATCTCTCTATTTAAATGAAATTCTCACTTTTAAAATGATTTCCTGAATTCATTCGATTATTTTATTACTTTTTTTTTTTTTTTACAAATGATAAACTGACTTTGCTGATAATGAGTCAGTCTGGCATCTACTCATGTTTTTCAGTTGAATATAAATTCTCCATAAAGGTTAAAAGTGCATTAAACAAATGTCACACATGTTGGTAGATGTTCTTATGCAAAAAAGGGCAAGTGTGAACCTATGTAGAAAAAAAAAATCAAAAAACTTTCTTGAATGATTCTCGTGGAATGAAAAATAAAGCTCACTTTACATTTGGCAGGATCTCCTGGCACTGGATGAAAGAGATGGTCTCTGGTGCCAGATTCCTTTTGTCAATGAACGTGAGAATTAAACCCAAGCCAAATCTGTTAAATCTGAACTGTCAATTCAGCCAGATTTGTAATATCAAGGTCATGGCATGAATCTTAAAAGGAGAGGGTAGAAGCAAGAATCTCACTCACTACTTGCCACACATTACATAATACATTTCACCTTATGAAATAATTAGTGGACTGCACAAAGGGAACTTCTCTGAACACTATTGGGGTTCTTGCAATACCTTGAGAAAAAGAATGTTCTACGACTTGCATTGGGAGAATGAATGGCTTTTATTTGCATGACATTATATTCCTCAATTGTTAAAGTCCATTTTCCTTAAACCAGTCCTGGAAAATGTGTAGCTGGGGCTTCAGTAGAACTAGAAGCAAAGGCAGTGCCCAGAGTTTCCATTCCATGGTGGGGCTGGGTCCCCTATAGCATCACACAAGTTACAGACCATTAGTCCATTGTTTGTGGGGTCCACGTGGCCATGAGCCATGTGGACAAAAGCAGAGCATGAGAGCCCCACAAGCAGTGAAGGTGGGGAGGGCTCCTTTGTTCAGGAACTTAAATACCAAAATTTCCCATGCTTGCAGTGACCAGGCCTACTTTGGCCAATGCCCTGTTCCAATACCCTGTTCCCAGATTTGGCTGACAGACAATCACCTTCCCATGTCACCTAGACCTTCCTGGGCATGCTTCTAAATTGCAGCTTTCCTTCGCTTCTTTCCAGTTATTAATTAATAACCAGGCCATTACAATGATATTAGAACCATCACCTTCAGATCAGGTAAATATTGCTAGTTTTCCTCCCTAAGAATATGACAAGTAGTAATAAATAGAATGATATACATAAGGACTTTGGGATGTAAGACTGTTGAAAGTAATAAATAGAATGATGTACATAAGGACTTTGGAATGTAAGACTTGTGAAAGCTCTGAGTTTTTCTCCAGTATGCCATCATATTGTGTGCCCCTCGTTTCTGATGCTTATATTCATACCATAAATTAACTACAATTTTAACTTCCACTATGTTTTTCTAGCTTCACTTGAGTTACTGCTCAGTTGAAAAATGTGAACAGCAAAGCTTCCCAGATAACTAGTGAATCCTTCTAACAAATCTGCCTCAAGTTTGTTTCTTAATAGTATCACACTTCATTCCATGTTCTGTCTCCCAGGTTATGCAATAGGAATGCCATTTACATTTGTTTAAATACAAAAAGGATTTTCCCATAACAGAAAATGAAGGGAAGATGGGAGGGATAGTGTCAGATGGCTTGTTCGGAGCTCAGTCAGACATTTTCTACAATGAAGTAAGAAACTAATGAAAATCATAAGGCAAGTAGAATTTTTTCCAAATTATTTTCACTGAAGTTATTTCTTCCTGAAATATTATTCCCTGATTTCATTGTCCACTAGAATTCCAAAATATATATGTGTGATCTTCTGTTAAGTCCTATATAACTCTCTATAGTGAACTTATGCCCAGCAATTTTATTATTTGACATTTTAAAGTGTATTTTTTCTCTTATTCTTCTATAAAAGAACTCACATCTTAGTCCCGTTTGCTTTCCCAATGCTTTGCATGCCTGGCATGTATAAGATCCCAGATGTTAATTACCAAAAAATATGGATGAAAAATAAAACCTTATCTCACAATAGTTCTGTCAGTTTAATAAGCATCAGAATAGTCACATCACAACAAAATGTACCAGGGAACAATTCAACCAGCTAAATAATGGCAGTGCAGAGGCCAGAATTAATTTTTCTACTTTCTAGAACACTTATCTTCCCGTATCTTGAATTGTATTGGAAAGAATATCCTGTGAGCCAGTCTAAAGTAGGGCATGGTAATACATTGAAGTGCTTATGTGGTCTCTAGTTTCTCTAGCAGCCAGAATGAAGAGGCAATCACAGAAATAAGAAAGAGAAGGGAAGCTGGAAAGGGGCTGAAGAAAAGTTGTTCTTTTAATGAAGATTGAAGAGATGGTAACATCCTGTGTGCTACAGAAGGTGATTTAGTGGATATGGAGATATTAAAGAGGAATGACAGAAAATAACCCAAGAAAAGGCAGAGAAAGTGGGTATACATGCAGTATATAGGTACATGTGGTAGCAGGAGACTGAATTCTGTTCTGTCTGATTTTTTTTTTTTCAGTTTAGTCAACATCAAGGTCATTGGTTAAGAGAAATAATGGGAGATGTGGTATGTAGGTTTGAAAAGAAAGTAAAAAGTGGAAAAAAGAAGTAAATGGATCAGAGAATTACAGAATGACTGCTAGGCAGTGCTAAATATTCACTTAATATCATAATCATGAAGGTAAAGTTAGTCACATCAATATGTGATGTGTTTTCTCCAAGTCCATCATCGCTGGTATGGACTAGGTAAAGAACTGAATGTAACCAAGTCTGATTTCATCAAATGCATACATGAAGTAAAAAGTTGAAGGGCTATGCAAGAGTAAAATTATATTCAATTACCACAGGAATTCAGCTGATTAGGTGGGGGTGGCAGAAATAATACACAGAATTTGGGGAGGAAGTGAAATCAATGAATTGGAAATCCTAGTAGAATCAGTGGTGGAGTAAGGAAACAAAAAGACACTGATAAGAGAGGAAGTTGTAATCAGCAAAAATGAGGTGCATGGAAGTCAGTTTATAGAGAAGTTGCAGTTTAAAAAATATCTAGTCTCAATGCAGATGTGCATCATCATTTTGCCCATGAGGCTATTGGAGCTATGGGAAAGGTTAACACTTCCCCCAAGTATTTGGAAAATCTGCAAATTCCACTCCCATAGCTATGCTTTGGCATCACCATTTCTACATTTCCCCTGCCATGGCCCACTATAATAGTCACAGGAAACCTCTGATGTCTAATAAAACCACTGGTGTTCATTCCTAAAGGAATGTTGGGATGCTGTGCTGTCATTGTTGTTAATGTCCATTGGCAGGTATTGCAATGACAGCTAATGCTTGCCAAAGTGTTTCAGGTCATCCCAGGTAGGAAATTTCTTAACTCCCAAATTTGTGATATGGTTACTTTCATAAGATTCAGAGCTATACTTTGCAGCCTTGGAGTACTCTAGTACTATTTTAAATTAAGCGATTATTTTGTGTTTTTTTTCTTTGGAATATTAAAGGGCTGAGCCAGAGATATTTTGGGATAACAGACATGTCTCTACTCCCATGCATCCTTATGCTTAGTAACAGATAAAAATGTTCTTAAACTCTCTTTCCCCAGTATATTTTGCTAAGAGCTTATTTAGTTGCTCATGTACCAAATTATCTATAATAATAAAAGTATAATATGGTAATTAGACCAGATGTCCTTCTGGACAAAGCCAGAACTACAAGGGATGCCCAGGTCCCAGTGCCTGCTGATAACTATAGGGAAGCCCAGATCCAGTGTGCCAGAGGGAAGCTAGTGCCAGCAGCCAGGGGAAGGAAGGCCTACTCCTGCATGCATTCTGTGCATCAGACCTCTAGTCCTATCTAATAAAGAGGAAATATGCTAATTGACTGTCATGCCCTCACAAAAATGGCAGCACCCACAGCCAATAAGGAGGAAATATGCTAATTGAATGTCACACCCTCAAAGATAGTGGCACCCAGTCACAAGATGGTGGCTCCCAGTCCCCTCAGCCCCGCCAGAGTGGCAGGCACATGGCATGGCTAGGCCCACCTCCAGGCAGGTCCAGCCTCTCCACATGCCTGCTTCTGGAGTCCCTTCAGACCCCTAGCTGCTTAGGGCCAGTCTGAAGCACAGGCAAGCCTTCTATGGCGACTTCTCAGCTGCCCAGGGCCAGCCCAAGGCTCAGTGTAACCAGGGCCGGCTGAGGCTTGCACTGCCGGCAGTGGCAGCAGCAGTAGTGATTGCCAGTTTGCCTCCTGCCCCCGAGGGCTCCGGACTGTGAGAGGGGACAGGCCAGGCTGAGGTAACCTCCCTTCTAGTGCATCAATTTTCATGCACCAGGCCTCTAGTATGTAATAAAATTACACCAAAGGCCTTCCATATATGCTTAGGCTTATGGATCCTAGGAAAAGCATTAGACTAAAGTTGAGAATTTTGTTTTATACATTTAAGTATTTGACAAACTGTGTTTAGGATATGTATATGTATTTGTTTTCTTACATCATCTATATATTTTAAAATATTCCCTGTAGTTAGATTTTTTTTTTTTTTAAAGAACACACATTTGCAGTGTTCTCAACAGTACAAAACTAAAGATATTATAGTACAGGTTGTATTGGTGATGAAAAATCAACACTGACACATGATCCTCAATATTTTTAAAAACTCTAAATATATTCAAGGGCTGCCTTATTAACAAGAGAACATTCTCTAGGTTTTCACTTATTATTTTCTCTTTGACCCACGGCAAAAATTACTTAAAATACCAGACTCTGAAAGCACTACTGTTCTCTATAGGAATTTTAATAGAGAGATCCCTCTAAACAGAACAACCAAATCCTAAGAATCTGTGAAGTATGAGATGTACATAATCCATTTACATTTAAGAGGAATAAGATAGCACAAATGTGATTTAATAAAACACTTATGGAGAGATTACAAAAATCCTGAGGCTTGACCCAGCCATCAATCAGGTTACTTACCAGATATCTCCTCTAGGCACTGCTTAGCAGTCTTGCTGTAGGATAAATCCATCTTCGTAGGGCTGGTACAGGAGTCAGCAGATGATAAAGAAGTGCCTTCATTTTCTGAATGTGCTCTGGAATTAACCAAGAAGACAGAAACAAATAGCAACTGCTGTTACCAGTGACACATTCAGGTTCTTTATTATAAGAAGTAGACATACAAAAGTTTCCTATCAAGGTAAATAAGCATTTCTTTATGACTCAGGCGTTCCAATTCTTTATGACTGAGAATTCCCCTGCCCCTCCCTACTCAGTTCTGAAGTCTACTGTATTCTATTCTACTTGGGCTGGTTTCCATGGGCCTCTGTACCTCCTCAGCCCTCTGTATATAAAGAAAGGGGGGAAAGTCCTCTGAAGTTTTCTAGGATTTTTATTACTGAGTAAGTTTAAATGGAGAGTATGTAATGAGATTAGAGACCCCAGGGAAAGCTTACTGGCTGCCTGCCAAGAAGCCTGGAGTCATGGTGCCTTGGTACACTGGCTATGAGCCAGGCTTGGCTTAGAGTCATACAGGCTCAGTATTCGCAGACTGATCTTGCAGAAGCTGAGTCACATTAAGTAGTTCCCTGAGATGTGGCTGTCTAAGCCCAGTGCCAACAGTTCTTATCAGAACAAGACCCACGGCTGTCATAGGAGCCTGAATGCTTGTGGCCACGCTGGTCATAAACATTCACAGTATCTCCTTCTAGGAAAATCTGCATTTTCAGTCAGCAAAAGAGTATGCAGAATGTATTTTGGAGTTTTTGCTTTGAAAAAAAATCCTAAAAAATATTCCTCAGGAGCTGACTGTGGCTATCTTCCTCTGTATATGAGACCTAGGATGCAATTCCATTGGCTGAGCTGCACATCCCCTCCCTGAGAAGCTCCTTTATAAAAAAGCATTCATGCTTCTGACAGCTCAGTCATGTCTTAGAAGCCATTGTTTTATTTTATTTTTAAAGTGGCAGTGCATAGTTCTGACTGATTCACCCTTTAATGTGATTTTGGTTTAAGTCACAAGATACAATCTGACTTACCTTGTTTTTAAGTTCTTTAGCATATTTTCCATGGTATTCCCTATATGAATTACCAACATTAGTGACAAAGAACATGGAAAAGGTAGATAATTACAAAAAGGACTTAGGAGTCATCTTTGATTTGTATACACATCTAAATGGACCCTGATCTCAGCTCTACATATGTCACAAGCCAGTCATTTCACCAGTATTTCTACCTCATTATTTGGAATCAGGTATTAACTCCCATATCTATAGGGACACTCATTGCAAACTGGGATGTAAAATTTATACAGATGCTCAAAGAGGTTCCGTTGGTATTTGAACACTCACAGCAGGTCTCTGTTTGGGGAGATGCTTCATTCCAGTAAGATAAAAGGTGTGGGGAGTAATGAAACAATTTATAAAGACTTCAGAATCAACGGTATTCTCTAATTATAAGGTGCATTTTGACATATTGCAGTGGAATCATTCACTGTTCTCACAGAAGCTGACATTGTAATTCCCTCATATTTGCTAGAGAAAAAAAAATGAGCATCATGACGGTCCTTCAACATATTCAGCAGACACAGGCATGCACACACTACCTTATTGCACATTTACAAGATGGTCAGCATGTTATGAGTACCTATTGAAACCATAAGATGCAGCATTGCGACAATTCCATTTAATTTAGAGTTCTAGTAAGCCAGACCCTTTGGACTAGTGTCTATTACTGAGTTGTAGTGGTTAAAAGTCTAGAGTTCACCAATGATTAACACAAGAGCTGTCCCATTTATGTGTATTTACTAAGTGCCAAGTACTATGCCTAGTGTTTTACTTATGGCATGTCACTCAAAATTCACAACCATCCAGCTGCTATGGTTAAATGACTCCTCTCCCCCACACAAAAAAATTCATATGCTGACACCTAATCCCCAATGAAATGGTATTTGGAGGTGCAGCCTTTGGGGTGTGCTTGGGTCATGTGAGAGGAGCCCTGAGGAATGAAATTAGTTCCCTTATAAAACACGCAATCAGAGAGCTGCCTTGTCCTTCTGCCAGGTGAGAAGGACATTATGGTGAGCCAGGAAGCAAGGCCTTCACCAGACACCAAACTTGCCAGCACTTTATCTTGGACTTCCCCAGCCTTCAGAAAGTGAGAAATAAATGTTTGTTGTTTAAGCCAATCAGGATATATTATAGCATTTTTGTTACAATATCAGAAGATATTAACATACTTGCAATATGTATGCCATGGATAAATTAAGGCCTCTAGAAGTTTAATGTTTTGCCCTACATAAGAAGCTGATAGATACATAAGCTATACTTAAACTTATAAATACTATTCTGTTAACCACTACCCTACAATTGAACACCATCCAAATGCCTCTGGACACTGAGTATTTTATTACATTCCAGGCTCCCTTAGCTGAGAGTTAGCTCAGTCATGAAGTTAATAATAGACAATATTTGAATGTAACAATATCCGCTAGTCTATACTAAATTTTAATCTTTATAACAAGTTTTACTGGTAAGAGAAAGAAGCTATTAATTATTGTGCCATTTAAAGGAACTCAGCAATAAATCCCAGATATGATCAATCTTCAAATTTTATATATATGGATTCATATATTGATTTATATTTTTTTAAAAATCTCCCTGTGGATTCATCTTGATATGATTATAGTCATAAATGTTGGTACAATAGAACTAGTTTGAGTAAACTGTATTAATGAATGGGATTATAGCTCCTGCTTCACAAACCTAACAAAATGAAATGAAAAGCAAATATCTTTTTAGAACCATCAATAGGCATGCTTTCTTCTCTCCTTCCTGGTGGACGGCAGATAGATGACAGTGAAGGCCCATGCCAGATATGATAATATTTATATTCTAGAGGCCAGATGCACAAAATTCATGCATGGGACTCAGCCCTCACAGCCATGGCGGCTGCCTCGGCCCTCCCAGCCCTGGCTTTGTCTGAAAGGTCGTCCAGAAAATCATTCGGCTGTCCAGAGTAATCAGCATATTATTATTTTATTATTATAAATAGTAATAGATAATGAGATAAATCCTATATAATAAAAGCCTAATGTGCTAAGTGTCTGGTCATCTGGTCAACCAATCAAAGTGTAACTATATGCTAAATCCACTCAACACTGGCTATGATGTGCACTGATCACCAGGGGGCAGATGCTCCAACAGGTAGATTAGCTTGCTACTGGGGTCCAGCTGATGGGGACTGAGTGAGATGGGCTGGACATGCCCTGGAATCCTTCTGTGGTCCCTCCTGGGCGGGCCAACTTCCTGCATCCCTTCCTAGCCCCAATTTTGCACCAGTGGAGTCCTTCAGCCTGGCTGGCGCCCTCTCGCAATCTGGGACTCCTCTCGCAATCTGAGAAGTGGTTTCGGCCCAATTCTGCAGGCCAGGCTGAGGAACCCCACTGGTGCACACATTTGTGCACTGGGACTCTAGTAATGATTTAAAGAAGTGTGTGTGTGTGTGTGTGTGAACATATTATTTATCCATTTAGAAAAAGTGAGGAGCAGTGAGATCTTGTTTTCTGCACAAAACCAAATCAGGGTTTCTTAGATAAAAGCTGAAGCCACAGAAGTATGGGTATTAGATCAACTAAGAACACCTGTAGCCAAAAAAAAAAAAAAAAAAAAAAAAAAAAAAAGGAGTGGGGGGGCGTTCTCAAAAAATAATGGAAAAGAAGTCAGCTTGAAGGGGCTTCCAATGGCCAAATCGAGGAAATTTAAGCACCAAAACAAATAGTATTATCAGTAAACTATGTTCCATTAAATACAGAATGGGGCAAATGGAGGTTACAATTGTTAGTGCATGAGACACAGAGTTTATTCTGGTGTTATTAGTGATTAATATATGAACAACTAATTATTATATGCACTGTAAACCTATTTTTTCCCTACCCTTCTGCCCCAACATAGTAATCCATTAGTCCACACAATTTAAAGAGAGAGATGAAAAGAGAAATCTTTTTCTTAAAGTAGATGCCAGGGCCTAAATATGAAAGAAATAATCTTATTAAAAATCATTTGTCAACCACTGGAGTAAATTATTAATTCAGGCAAGAAACCTCAGTGGATGCTAAAATTTAAAGGTAAAAGTAGATTAAGTTATAGAATTTTTACATGCAGTCTCAAAATACGTAGTAAATAAAAATGGGGCAAAATAACTCTAAAATAGAAAACCATGTCACACCTTCTCTTAATCAAGTGATCAATTTGATATTACCAAAATGGAAAGTATCAATATGTATGAAACCTAATAGAAAAAACACTGAATTATTTGTGTGACAGTCCTAACAAATCAAATAGTAGCCCGGTGCACATAATTTGTGCACGGGAGGGAGGGTGTCCCTCAGCACAGCCTGCACCCTCTCCAATCCTGGACTCCTCGGGAAATGTCCAATTGCCGGGTTAGGCCAGATCCCTAACCCTATGGGATCCGGCCTAAACCAGCAGTTGGACATGCCTCTTGCAATCCAGGACTGCTGGCTCCTAACCACTCACTTGCCTGCTTGCTTAATGGCCCCTAACCACTTTGCCTGTGAGTCTGATTGCCCCCTAACCACTCCCCCTGCTGGCTCCATTGCCCCAATCCTCCTCCCCCCCCACCAGCCTGCTTGTACCCAACTGCCCCCCAACCCCCACCAACCTGCTCACCTCCTATTGCACCCCCCGCCACCGCCACCTGCTTATCCCCAAATTGCCTCCCCTGCCAGCCTGATCACCCCTAGCCCCTCTGCCTCAGCCCCACCACCATGGCTTTGTCTGAAAGGATGTCTGGAAGGTTTCCCAGTCTAATTAGCATATTACTCTTTAATTAGTAGAGATGGGTCTAATCATGAGGAACTATCAGATAAACCTAAACTAAGAAACATTCTAGCAAATGCCTGCCCTCAGCATATCAATGTCATGAAAGTCAAGAAACTACTGAAGAACCATTCCAGAATGAGGGATATTACAAAGACATGGCAACTGGTTGCAAGGAGTTAAGTGTATATGGGAGTTCTCTGTACTATTCTGGCAAAATTCCTGTAAGTTAAAAATTTTTTTTCCAAGAAAAAGCA